CACATCTGAATCCTCAGTCCACCCTTCACATCTGAAGCCTCAGTCCACCCTTCACATCTGAATCCTCAGGCCACCCTTCACATCAGAATACCCCCTTCACATCAGACTCCTCAGTCCACCATTCACATCAGAGTCTTGGTCCACCCTTCACATCAGACTCCTCGGTCCACCCTTCACATCAGACTCCTCAGTCCACCCTTCACATCAGAATACCCCCTTCCCATCATAGTCCTCGGGCCACCCTTCCCATCAGAGTCCTCGGTCCACCCTTCCCATCAGAGTCCTCCCTTCGCATCAGACTCCTCAGTCCCACCTTCGCATCAGACTCCTCGGTCCCACCTTCGCATCAGACTCCTCGGTCCCACCTTCGCATCAGACTCCTCGGTCCCACCTTCGCATCAGACTCCTCGGTCCCACCTTCGCATCAGACTCCTCGGTCCAACCTTCGCATCAGACTCCTCGGTCCAACCTTCGCATCAGACTCCTCGGTCCAACCTTCGCATCAGACTCCTCGGTCCAACCTTCACATCAGACTCCTCGGTCCAACCTTCACATCAGACTCCTCGGTCCAACCTTCACATCAGACTCCTCGGTCCAACCTTCACATCAGACTCCTCGGTCCAACCTTCACATCAGACTCCTCGGTCCAACCTTCACATCAGACTCCTCAGTCCCACCTTCACAACAGACTCCTCAGTCCCACCTTCACAACAGACTTCTCAGTCCTCCCTTCACATCAGACTCCTCGGTTCAACCTTCACATCAGACTCCTCGGTCCAACCTTCACATCAGACTCCTCAGTCCAACCTTCACATCAGACTCCTCAGTCCAACCTTCACATCAGACTCCTCAGTCCAACCTTCACATCAGACTCCTCAGTCCAACCTTCACATCAGACTCCTCAGTCCAACCTTCACATCAGACTCCTCAGTCCAACCTTCACATCAGACTCCTCAGTCCAACCTTCACATCAGACTCCTCAGTCCAACCTTCACATCAGACTCCTCAGTCCAACCTTCACATCAGACTCCTCAGTCCCACCTTCACATCAGACTCCTCAGTCCCACCTTCACATCAGACTCCTCAGTCCAACCTTCACATCAGACTCCTCAGTCCAACCTTCACATCAGACTCCTCAGTCCCACCTTCACATCAGACTCCTCAGTCCCACCTTCACAACAGACTCCTCAGTCCCACCTTCACAACAGACTCCTCAGTCCCACCTTCACAACAGACTCCTCAGTCCAACCTTCACAACAGACTCCTCAGTCCCACCTTCACAACAGACTCCTCAGTCCCACCTTCACATCAGACTCCTCAGTTCAACCTTCACATCAGAGTCCTCGGTCCCACCTTCACATCAGAGTCCTCGGTCCAACCTTCACATCAGAGTCCTCGGTCCAACCTTCACATCAGAGTCCTCGGTCCAACCTTCACATCAGAGTCCTCGGTCCAACCTTCACATCAGAGTCCTCGGTCCAACCTTCACATCAGAGTCCTCGGTCCAACCTTCACATCAGAGTCCTCGGTCCAACCTTCACATCAGACTCCTCAGTCCAACCTTCACAACAGACTCCTCAGTCCCACCTTCACATCAGACTCCTCAGTTCAACCTTCACATCAGAGTCCTCGGTCCCACCTTCACATCAGAGTCCTCGGTCCAACCTTCACATCAGAGTCCTCGGTCCAACCTTCACATCAGACTCCTCAGTCCAACCTTCACATCAGACTCCTCGGTCCAACCTTCGCATCAGACTCCTCGGTCCAACCTTCACATCAGACTCCTCGGTCCAACCTTCACATCAGACTCCTCAGTCCAACCTTCCCATCAGAGTCCTCGGTCCCACCTTCACATCAGAG